AAAGAAATGGGCAGAAGACATGAATAGACACTTTTCTAAAGAAGACATCAGATGGTTAATAGACACATGAAAAGATGCTCAACATCACTCATCATCAGGGAATACAGATCAAAACCACGATGGGATATCACAAGAAGCAACAGGTGTTGGCGAGGATGTGGAGAAAGAGGAATCCTCTTACACTGTTGGTGGGAATGCAAACTGGTGCATTCTGGAGAACAGTATGGAGGTTCCTCAAAAAACTAATAATAGAACTACCCTACAACCTAACTATTTAGGTATTTACCCAAAGGATACAAAAATACAGATTTGAAGGGGTACATGCACCTGATGTTTATAGCAGTGTTATCAACAATAGCCAAATTATGGGGGGAGCCCAAATGTCCATTGACTGATGAATGGGTAAAGGAGATGTGGTGTATATATTTAATGAAATATTACTCAGCCATCAAAAAGAATGAAATCCTGCCATTTGCAATGATTTGGATGGAGCTAGAGTGTATTACGCTAAGCAAAATAAGTCAGTCAGAGAAAGACAAATACCATATTCACTCATGTGTGGAATTTAAGAAACAAAACAGATGAACATATGGAAAGGGGGAAAAAAAGGAGAGGGGGAAAGAGACTCTTAATGATTGAGAACAGACTGAGGATTGATGGAGGGAGGAGGGTGGGGGTTGGATTAGATGGGTGATGGGTATTAAAGAGGGTACTTGTTGTGATGAGCACTAGTGTTGTATGTAAGTGATGATTCACTGAATTCTACTCCTGAAACCGATATTGCATTATATGTTAACTAAAATTTAAATAAAAATTAAAAAAAAGAAACCTAAGAAAACTGCATAGTCCTTATAGAAAAAATTATAAAATGTAATTTACAGATACTGAAAGAAGATTTAAATTAATGGACCTGCCTATCATATTCATGGATTGGAAAATTCCTTATCATAAAGCTGACCGTTGCCCCTAATTTGAGCTGTAGATTCAACATACTTCCAATTAAAATCTCAACAGGGTTTTTGTTTTGTTGTAGAAATTGACAAAGTGGGTCTGAAATCTCTATGGAAGAGGCAGGGACCTCAAATAGCCAAACCTTAGCTGGTGGTGGTTGTGGAGAAGCAGGCTGATATCTGCCCAACCAGATACCAGACTACCTCTCATCCTTGGTCATTAAAAGCATAATAGTCAACCAATGGGCAGAATGGAGAGCCTGGAAACTGACCCCTGCGCACGTGGAAGCTTGGTGGACAACAGTGGTACCATTGCGGGTCCCTGGGGGCAGGGATGAAACTACCCAGTAAAGGGTTCTGAGACAACTGGTAATCCACGTAAAGGAGGAATTAAACAGGAGTCCCTGCTTCTCACTGACAACAGAAATCAACTCCGGGTGGATTAAAGGCTTAACTGTGAAAAGCAAAACTAAATATTTTAGAAGACTCTATAAAAGATTTTCTTTGTGACTCAGCATGGGATAGGATTTCTTCAACCCACTCTTCCTGGAACCTTCTCTCTGAGGAAATAGGAACTCTGTCCTCCCAGGCTTTCAGGTCAGAAGCCTTGAAATCAATCTTAATTCCTCTCTCATACACCCCAGATCCATTTATTAGCATATTCTGTGGCTCCAGCTTACACAAATACCCAGAATCCTACCATACTGTACAATGGTACCTCCAGAGTTGTGCAGGGCCCCAGCCCTGCTCCCTAGACAAGCCACCATCATCTCTCCTACCTGGGAGATATTTTGCAGTCGACTCCTCACTGGTCTCCCCGTTTCCGCCCCAGCTCCCCTGCAACTATTCTCAATGACAACGAGAATGGTCTTTTAACCAACACTACCATTCTCCTGCTTGAGACCCTCCCCTGGCTTCCCGACCCCGCCAAGGGAAAAGATTTTCTGGCGGCCTTCCCCACCGAACCCATCTCCTGTCTGAGTTCCTCTCCCTTGCTCTGGTTCAGCCACAACCTGGATCAGCAAGGGCAAGGCTGACGCGGTGGGTAGAAACAAGAGCGAAGAAGAGGTGAAGCCCACTGGTGCCAAGGCTGAATGAAGCCCGAATTTACGGTGCTTGCCAATGTCTGGAGTATAAATACTACCGCGGCTCACCGTAAGATAGCAATGCGATGCCAGTTAGGGAAAATAGAACAACTGACTCTTGTTGAGCGGGTAGGTACAAGCTGGTTCGCGCTGGTTCCAGCACCACCCCTCGCACAGCTGCCAAGGTTGTTTCTCAGGCTGGCGAAACATGCACAGATGTCTTTTAGACAATTGTTTTATGTCTGGGTAGACGTTACCATATAAGGTTGTGCGCACCCTCGGGTGATAATTATTACGGGGACAAATGGAAGGCAGGAACTCTGAGGCCCAGAACAGAAGACAATCTGAGCTGTCTTCTCTCTCCCTCCTCCAGCACCACCCCTTCTCCAGGCTCAAAGAAAGAGCCAGAAAGGCTTCCCGTGGCTGTCTGGTTCCTTGGGTGACGGGGATCTGAGCCCGGTGAGGAGGTCCGCCAGGCCCTGGGGGCACGGGAGAGGGCCTGGCAGGACGGAGGGAAGAAAGAAGAGGACCAGAAGGATGTCATGTTTGGCAATGAGGCAAAACTCGAACGTGGGGGCCGAGAGAGGCCCCTGCAGGCAGGCTGTGGACCCCCAGCTGAGCAAGCCATTAAACCACTTTGGGAACGGGGTCATAGGTAGGGAGGTGACCCAAAGCCGAGGAAAGACTCTGGGGCTTTGGAGGCAGGAGAAAAACGTGGATTTGAGCTCTGATCCACCTCCTGCTATTGAGAGATCTTAGGCAAACTGTTTCCAGTGAGTCCCTGAAATGGAGCTAATAGCTCTCACCCCAAACAAACAGGACTACGGCTGGTCCTCAGGAAACACTGCACACTGCTGTCCGAACCTCCAACCCACCCTTCTCCCCAGATGGTGCCACCACAGCTCTGGGAAGGAAAAACAATGGCCTGCCAGCTACTTGTTTCCAGCCCCAGGCCAAGCACCTTCAAGTGGCATTTCAGAGCCCTGTCAATGACCCAGTGAGGGCCACGTCATCGTTATTATCCCCATGGTGCCAAGAAGGTGACCGAGGCCCAGAGAGGTGAAGGATCCCGCCTGAGGCCACACCCAGGAAGTGGCAGAGCTGAGCTTTGAACCTAGGAAGCCTGACATTGTCGCTGTGACCAGAGGTGCCCAGGCCAGCCAGGGGTGCCCAGGCCTCCCTCTGGCAGACTAGGACACCAGAGGTCCCCGAGGGAGTGAGGAGCTATTTGCCAACTAGGATGGATCATCTGCACGGTGAGAACACATTTGCCTGGGGCCTGGATATTCCCAGCGCAAGGCACAGAGCCTGGCCCAGAGAGGGCCCTTGGTGGCCACGCAATGAGTGTCCCGTGCCCCCAGGAATGTGTCCTGGGTCTCAGACCCCCTAGGGGTACAGGAAGGGGTGGCTTGGGATCCACAGGTGCTGACAGCCCTCACCCTTGCCCTTTGGCCTGACCTTGAAACAAATTTGATCGCATGTTGTAGCCCAAATCATAGTAGTCTGAGAAGATGGAGGTGATTTTCACGGGACTCTGGGTCCTGCTGGGCCATGAGTTTGCCCTCTTCTGGCCCTCAGAGACCTCACCGATGGCCCTTCGAGCCTGTGCAGTGAGCAAGGGAGAAGAGACAAAGGATAGAGAAGCAGGGTCAGCCCTCTATCTCCCCTCCAATCCCTCCTCCCTCTGGCCTGATCTTGCCACCCCCTACCCCACCCCTACCCTGCAGCCTTCAACCAGGCCCAGGGCTGGGAGCCGGGAGAGCTGAAGGCCCTCCATTCCTCACACCACCCCACCTCCCAGACGGGCACAAGTGATGGTAATGACTATAGAACCTCCTCCCTGCTTTGAGCACCTACTGTTTATCATCAGAAGAGATCTTCATAAGCTAACATTACTCCTGTCATTTTATAAATGAGGAAGCTGGGCCTCAGGGCAAGACTCACCCGGTCGCCACAGCTGATAAACCGCAGAGCCCCGCTTGCCTCTAGAACAGAGGCATCCCCCACGTCATCTCTGGGTGGCTCCTTAGATTTCACGGGGGCCAACTCCTTCCTGTACCAGCGAGGGACCTGGAAGGCTCAGAGTGGCTGAGCCCAGGCCTAGGAGCCAGGAAACTGGGGTTTGAGTCCCAGTTCTGCCATAACCCATCTGCTGACATTGGGCAAGTCTCTGGTCTTCTCTGGGCCTCAGTTTCCCTACTTGTGAAATGGGGTTGGGGCAGAACTGGATGGTCTTTGAAGTAGCTTCCAGCTCTGATAATCACGAGCTCAGTGACACCTGTGATGTGTCAAAGTTAGATAGAAAAACCAGATCTCCTGATTCAAACCCAGGACAATGATGGCCAGAGAGAAATGACAGCTTCCAAGGCTGAGAGGGGCAGTGAGAGATAGTGACCATAGAGCCAGCCTCAAACTGGGATAAGATCTTCCAAGTAGGACAGGACATCTAGGATTGTGACCTCCCAGACTAGCAGACCTCCTGTGTCCGCTCGGATACCTGCTCCTCAGGTGTGGTGGTCACCACACCTAAAGATGACAAAGTAGAGGGGGACCCAGCCCTTTGTGATCCTGGGAATTCCACTTGCTCAGTGTGACCCCGAGCAGATCACATCACCTCTCTGATCCTCTGTTGTACTATATGTTCGAAAAGAAGCCATAAGTCAGGCCTGGCCTACCGCACAATGTAGTCACTGTGGGGGTTGAGGTGATGGCTTTAACCTATGTCTCAAAACTCCAGAGCAGGAAGAACTCCTAGCATTTGACCAGAAACAGCAGTTTTATCTCAACTTTCAGTTGATCGGTAGTGATTCTCTGGAATAGTGTATCAGGTGGGGGAAAGGTGCCAGCATCGACTAGTGATGTCTGCCATGAATGCAGTCTAGGAGAGTTGGGGTATGAATGCCATTTGTCAGCCTGATCTAGTCCAACTGCCTCACTTTACAGAGGTAGAGACTAGAGCCCAGAGAGGGGAAGTGACTTATCCAAAGTCACCCAGTATTCAGGGGGCAGAGCCAGGATCAAACCCAAGTCTTCTGATTCCCAGTCAATGCTGTCTCCTTTAGGAGACTTGTTCAAGTTAAAAGCATCTAATCCAACACCAGCCTTATAACTGAAAAGTCAGTAAGGGCCAGGCCCGCAGAATATGTTGGCCTAGCTTGGATCCTTATCCCATAGACCTGGGTGAGTTTGGTTAGTTTACTGAACCCCTCTAAGCTTTGGGCTCCTTATCCGTAGGATATAGTACCTTCCTCACTGAGAAGATCAAATGAATTGTTTTATGTGAAGACTTTAAATTGGGCTCTGCCTGGCATAGTCAACATTCCTCTCGAATGATACTACTGTAGGGACTCTGTGCTCAAGAGCAGGCTCCTTGGGGGTCCTCGTAAGTCTCCATGCATAACGCTTCCGCCACCCTTGGCCTCCTGTGCCCGCTCGGATACCTGCTCCTCAGAGACCAGCTCGTCCACCACGTTGCTCCCAAACTTGTGACGAATGTTGTCAGGAATGATGCTGCTCCTCTGGCCCTGGGCTCCTGTGTTGGGGCCTTCCTTCAGCCCCTGGTTCAGCTGAGCCCCCTCTCGGAAAGAAGCCCTGTTCTCCCTCGAGGAGGGTCTGTAGCCTCCCTTCCTCGGGGACCCACGCTGGGGGTCCATCCCCGGGCACAGACGGTCGCTGCTGATGACCGATGGGGGTGGAGTCCTGACCTCCTCCAGGTGGACCTGCCTTAGGCGGCGGCCTCCCCGGTACAGAGTCTGCTGTGGGGAGACTGGGGCCTCGTACTTGAACTTGGAGGTGTCCAAAGGGCTGGGGGCAGTTCTCCAGGGGTTCGTGTCCTGCTGGTCTTCCTTGCTGTTCAGATGGGCCCTGGGCAAAGTCGTTGTGCCTGAGCAGGGAGAGAGGCAGGGAGGGAGGGAAGGAGGGAGGGAAATAGATGAGTGCAGAGTGGGGGGTGGGAAGGGAGACAGCGATGGGAGTGGGGAGGGGGGAAAGAGAAAGACACAGAGCCCCAGAGCCTCAGAGCAGCAAAAGAAGGTAAGGGAAACTGAAGGGACCCCACGAGAAACTGCTTTCTCTGCTCCTTTTGCTGCCTCTACTTTTGTTGGGACCTGCACCCCTGCCTCACACACGCCTTACAGAACAGACAGTCCTCATAAAGGTCAAGGATTTAATGATTTTTTTGGAGTCTTCCGGAACAATAGACAGTACCTAAGGAGTGACATGAACATTTTCCAAGACCGCGGACTCACCAAGACCCCTGGCTCCAGGGCGTAAGTGACTTATGGGGACACCTAAACACGCATCTTTGTTCCTGGATGCCTGAGAAGACAGGGCACTGGACCACCACCGTCCTCAATACAAACCCGGCCCCGTGCAAAGACGAGACTCACTGTCCTTTCCCTTCTGAGGCTCCCAGACACTCTGTATCTGCACTCTCTCTCTGTCTTCAGTAAACTGCTCTCACTTCTCTCGGCACACATTTGATTTCTATCCTGTGTGAAGCCAAAGACCGTCTTGGCTGGTGCTGCGGGACCCCTCTCTGAGTCCTCAGATCCAGCCAGCCTGCATCAAAGGGATGGGGACAGAGAGAAGTCACAGGAGCCAGAAGCACAGGGGAGAAATCAGGAGAGACAGAGGAAGCAGGTGGTTCAGTCTGCCAAGCCTCCCACCAGATGGGATCACCCCACGTTGTTTTTGACAATAGGAGTGGCAGCCCCAGACTCTCCAGCCTTGAGGTCTAGCTGTGGGACCTTGATGTCTCTGTGCTTTAGTGAACCTAGCTCCATTTGATTAGTTCCCTTCCCCTCTTTGAACCCTCCAGCGAACCAGTGAAGAAAACCAGCAGCCGTGGGACCTGCCAGAGGGCATCGTTAGCTTGGCCAAGTCACAGAGCTGGATGGCCAGGTCTTTGCTCCCCATTCAGAGCTGCTGCCCAACCCCCACTTTCTTCTGCTATTGTCACTATTCAGGTGCTGTCACCCCAGCCACTTCCCGGCTCTCACACCCCCACAGGTCCCTTCCCCTTCTGGCCCTGACTCCCAGTCCCAGGGGGCCCCTGCTCCCAGCCTGCAAGCCTCCTCCCTCTCTTCACCCAACCCTGGCTCCCACCAAACCAGCTAGTCCTTCTCTCCCAGCCATGCCCTGTGCCGTCCCACCTCCCAGTGTCTGCCCAGGCTGGTTCTGCTACCTGAGGGCCTGTGCCTCCTTCTTCCTGAGAAAATCCTACCTTCAGCTCCTTCAAATGTCATCTTACCAGGAAGTCCTCCCTGACACCCACCCCACGCTGGCCTGGCCGCAGACTCCACACCTCTCTCACGACTCTGGGTTTTCCCTTTCTCTGTCACTATGGCTACAAACCTTCTCATTTTCCCTCCAAGATGGGAGGTGGCAGTCTCGCTGAGGCGGGTCCATGGGTGAGTTGATCCTGGACCTCCCCCAGTGCCCACCAGACAAGCCCGGTGCATCGGAGCTGTGGGTGGAGGCCGTCAGCCAGCCCGGGGAGTAGGGGGCGGCGGGGCCAGCAGACCCAGAGGAACCCTGTGCATCGTCCGTGTAATACGTCATTTCTTTTCATGGTCATACCGCTGACATCAGGCTGCATCTGGCAGTTGGTGACCCTTGATCTAACCAGCAGGGTTTTCTCTTTCTTTAAGAAGTGGCGGGTAAGTCACATAAATAACAGTGTATCTGACAACCAACCTGATCGTGACCTAACACAATTTATATAACATGTCACACATGATAATACCCAGGTGGTGTATAAATTCTTCCTTACCTTATTCTTTCTTGTATTTTCTGTGCAAAATACAGAAGAGGAGCCGTTTGCCCACCCCCATCCCCCCACCACCACACACACACAGCCTTGACCTCGCCCCCTGCCCCCCAATCTTCAATCCCAGGTGACAGCTGTAAACACATCTGGTGAGCTGCCCTCCAAAATATTCTAGATGGCTCCTCCAGCCCTCTTGAAGGATTCATAGTAGTGCTTTGCTTTTGTTTCTAAATGAGATTGGATTATATGTATTGCTTTGTAACTTGCTGTTAAAAAAAGTACCACTGGGCCTTGAGGATTGAGTTATGGCAGCAGACACAGACCCCACTTCCCTTTCAAACCCGGCAGGATTTAGTAGCGGCCCCACTTGCGGTCATTCGGATTGTTCTAGGCTTGCTTTTCAGAGAAGGCTGCTAGAAAGCAGCGGGTTTTGGAGGCCATTGGGGGTTTTATTTCTCTCTCACCGGACCCTGCTGTGCTGTCACCAAGGGGTGGTGGTGCTCTGTGAAAAACCCCTCTTGCCCACCCACGAAGAATGGCAGACCCTTCCCCTGGGCAGTGGAGACAGAGAAAGCTGATGTCCAAGCCCGCCTGCCTCCTCGTTTCCTTCCCTCCTCCCTCCCCGCCACCAGTGAAATCAGATACTCTTTCATTCTTGCTCCTTTGTCATCTACACAAAAGGCAGAGGGAAAACCTGTTCCCCGAGACCAGAAGGCCTCCCCTCCCTCCAGTCCTGGTTCTGCCCCAGCAAGCAGGCAGCCAAGTCAACGGACGCCTCTGGGGACAACCGAGGTTTCCAAGGTAGGGAGGGCACCCTGCTCAATAGAGTGGAAGCAGCACACTCAGCATCCACCTGCTCAGCCATGGCCCCTCCTCCTGCTCCCAGCACAGCGAGGGGCTCCACCTGGAGTCCCACAGGATGCAGGGCTCAGGACTCTAGGAGCAGAGCTCCCCGTTTCTCCCAGGCCGCGCTCCCGCCTGCTTCATCTATGAGCATGTTATAGCAGAATTGCCTGAGCCCCCTGCCCGCCCTCTGGGGTGATGAGCGCTTCACTGGCCGGGCCCTGGCTCAGAGAGCCAATATTGATCCAATTCACGCACTGAGGGAGCCCTGTGTCAGGTCCAGGCATGGGGACACAGCAGGGAACTAAAAGGCCAACGCCTGTCCTCTCGGAGCTCAGTGTTTGTTGAATGAATGAGTGATTGTTGGCAGCCGAGGAGCCTCACTGCAACTCTGCCTCATCCCTTCTGCCGTAAAAAGGGCAGAGTGAATCCAGCTTCACTTGCTAGTGTCATGAGACAAATGGTCCGTGGTCAGTTTTCCCGGCTTGGCCCTTTATCAGAATTCCGCCCCGCCCCACTTCCCCACTCATGACATTTGCAGATTCTTGGGCCCCTCCCTGCATTGGGCCTGCCTCAGAACCTCCCTGGAAGAGGCTGGAATCCGAGTGTTTAACAAGGCCTGGGTGCTTAAGTTGTTGGAGAGAGCTTCCAGCAGCCGAGTCTCACTGGATGGCCACTCACCGTGGGGCCCCTGTCAGAGCTGACCTGATCCCGTCACCCCTGCATTGAAAGCAGAGCCCCCACGTCGGGGATCAGGCCCAGGACCCAGCCTGGGCTTCTCCCCCACCTGCCTCTCCAGCCTTCCAGCCATATTGACTTCCCTGGGCTCCACCAAAGCACCAGGCCTCTCACTTCCAGACTTTTGCCCATACTGTTCCCTGTTCCTGGAACACTCCCTTCACCCCTCCTTGGGCCACACCACTCCCTGGGCTGGGCTTACTCAGGACCTACATGTACCTTCCACCCCCTTGACCAGCCCTGGCCCCCGCTGGGGTCTCCCTCAGCCCTGCCCTCTGGGTGCACACTTCCCCACTGATCCCCGCAGAGGGCAACTGCAGTGGGGCTGCAGTCCCTGGTTGGAAAGAGGGGAGGGGCCCAGCAATATTCCCCTCCCTTTGATTTCTATCTTCAAATAGAATGCGGAGGAAGTCAGGGCCCCACAGTGGGTCTGGAGGCCCAGGTGAGACAGAGGGAGGAGGAGAAGGGGCTGTTCCCTGCTGCCCGCAGGGCACCTGTCCAGAAGCCCTGAATGGGCTCAGCATGTCCCTGGTCAGCCTGTCCTACCTGCTCGGTGGCCCAGCTCCATCGACTCTTGCTCTGGGATAGGTAATTCCAATCTTAGTCCTGTAGACAAAGAAACACATTTGGTCATCCCAGATGACACAGTCTCTGCAGAAAAGGATGAGCAGAGAGCTAAACAGGGAGGCTTGCAGCCATCTGCCCAGCCCCTGACCAGAGGTCCCTCCATGCTGTTTCCAGTCCTCTCTGGTACTCAGCAAGCCCCTTCCCCCATGCTGCCGCCATCACCTATCCCCCCCTGGCCTGCCTCCTGGACCCCTGTAGACTCTGCCCTCTCTGGAAAGCCCAGGTCACTTCCAATGCCAGTGCCTCAAAGAACTTTCTCAAACAGCCTGGGGGCCCTGAGCTCCTCTTGTCCTTTGCACCCTCTTCCTTCCACCTTCTCCCCTATCTGCAGCGCTCAACGCTCCCCTGGGATTCCCCAGCAGGCCCCTGGCTGTGGGAGGCCTTGCCCCAAGCCCCCTATCCTGGTGACTCTTTGCCTCCCTGCAAGTAGGACTGTGTCCCTTTTAATAGCTGGCCATTCAAGTTCAAGGGAAAGGAACCGGCTTGGCCATCATAGGAGATCTGAGAGCAGGAGCCTCGCGGCTGTGACCTCAGTCTCTGCTCCAGAGAACAGGCCTTCGGGCCAATTTAGAGCAGCCCTGGCGTCTACAATAGCCCCTGTGGCTTTCGGGTTTGTGTTCCTTTTCCTAGTGATCTTCTTCTTATTCCTAATACCTGATTTTATTGCAGTGTCTTTAAGATTTTTGTGAATCTTGTAATATGAAAAAGTAAAACAATTTCTTGTATACAGTGAATGTTTAGTACCTAGGCCTAAGCAGGAAGTAGCTTTGTAATAAGGAAAGCAAAAAAGTAGCAGGTTAGAGCTGGAAGGGATCTTTGGGATCAACTAATCCAATCTCTTCATTTTATAGATAAAGAAACTGAGGCCCAGAGAGGGGGAGTGATTTGTGCTAGGTCACCCAGCAAGCTGGTCTGCTGGTAAGCTCAGAGCAGATTAAGAACCAGATTAATTTTAGGGTCGCCTGGGTATCTCAGTTGGTAAAACCTCTGACTTCAGCTCAGGTCGTGATTTCAGGGTCCTGGGATGGAGGCCTGGTTCGGGCTCCCTGCTCAGCGGGGAGTCTGCTTCTTCCTCTCCCTCTGATTCTCCTCCCACTCGTGCTCTCTCTCAAATAAATGAAATCTTAAAAAAAGATCAATTTTCTTTTGAAGAAATCACAAAGCAAAACACCCTATTAATGTTGACACTTAATAATCGTGTGGTGATAACTGTGTGATCGTGCAGCTTCTGATGGACTGACTCCCCATGATCCCTAATTTCATAAGACCTACTGCTGGGGAGGGACTGAGCTCAACGGAATACCCGCCCCGGTATCCATACACAGCATTAGCCCCCCACCCCAACCCCCTGACTGTGGGCTGGACTTAGCAGCTTGCTTTTGATCAAAAGAATATGATGAAAATGGGAGGATGTCATTTTGAGATTAGGTTAATGACTTCTGTCTTATTCACACTCTTTCTCTGGCTCTTCTTGGCTTGTTTGCTCTGGTGGAAGCAACTGCCATGTTTTGAGCTGCCCCATGGAGAAGCCAACAGCTCATGAGGAAGGGAGACCTTTGGTCCAATAGTCCTCGAGGAACTGCATGAATCCTGCCACCCAAATGACCATGGGAGTGGATCCTTCTCCAGTTGAGCCTTCATATGAGAACATAGCCCAGCTGACACATTAATTACAGCTTGTGGGGAACCCTGAGGCAGAGGACCCAGCTGGGCTACACCCAGGATCCTGACCCAAAGAAACTGGGAGATAATAAATTTGTACTTTGTTTAAGCACATAGTTTTAAGTTGCTAAGCTTTGTGGTCATTTGTCATGCAGCAGAAGCTCACTAACATATAGTTTGGTACCAAGAATGGGCTGCTGCTGTAACAAATACCTAAAAATGTGGGAGTGGCTTTGGAACTGAGCAGTGGTTGGAGCATGCATGGGTTTTGAAGAACATGATAGAAAAGGCTTAAATTGCCTTAAACAGATAATGAGTAGAAATGTGGACTTGGAGGATGCTGTCACTGCAAGCACAAGGACATGAGGAACATGTTTTTAGAATCTGGAAGAAGATGTGTCCTTGTTATGTAGTGACAGAAACTTGGTGACACTGTCATTGACAATTATGTGGAAAGCAGAACATGTGACTAATGAGCCAGGGGATCTAGCAAAGGAGATTCTCAAGCAAAGCACGGAAGGTGCTTCCTGCTTTCTTCCTGCGGCTTGTAGTGAATTGTGAGAGAAGAAAGAAGCATTGAAGGAAGGACCATTAAACATAAAAGAGGCAGGACTTAATCGTTTTGGAAATTCTCATCTTCTTCAAGTGTCAAAAAATGCTAAAATTAAGAAATGGCTTCAGAGCACTGTCAGGAAAAGGTAACCAAGGGTGCGACTATACCACATTTTGTTAAAAGCTTATAAAGATGAAAAGCTCAGAGCATATTATTCCGTCACACAAACGACCCTTTAAAGAGATAAGGATGCATCTCACAGACCCCCAGTGGGGTAATAGGGCCTCTAGGAAGCTTACGGGTGCTGTCTTTCTGCAGGAACCTCAGGAGGGAGGAGCGTAGCTATTGTCTAGCAGTCCGAGCCCCTGTAGGCTTCAGTTATTGAGAAAACCATATCATCAAAAGCACTACCAGCTTGCAATAAAGGGGGCAGAGACAGTACAAAATGGGACCAAAAAAAAAAAAAAAGGGAGACATTAGTGGACTCTCAAATTCTACTGGTAGAACAGTCTGACAAAACTGTTCAGCATACACACATGCTCTATTTATTTATTTTTTAAAAAGGATAGAGAGTGGAAGAGAGTACCTGTTGGGCAGAGCTGAGAACCATGGAGAATTACTTCCAGGCCTTGAAACCCAATCAGGAAAAGTTCAACATTTCCTTGGCTGGATTTCAGAACTGCTATGGGCCAGTGACTCCTTTGTATCTCCAGTGTCCTCATTTTTTAATAGAGATGTCTATCATTCTTTTCCTGGGGCTGCCACACCATTTCGTGGTGGGTGTGTTCAGAACAAGTAGCTTAGTTTCAGAACAGGTAGTTTAGTTTCATAAGACCTACTGTTGGGGAGTGACTGAGCTCAAGAAACCACACCCAAGGAGTCTCATCCACACCTGGGCCTGATTCGTAGAACCAGGTTCTAGATTTAGAGCTGATGCTGTAATGGAATGAACCCTTTGGAGATCTTAGGCAGAAATGAATACATTTTGCATATGGAAGGGATGTATATTATCAGGGCCTAGAGGGGGAAGTGAGGTGGGCAGTTGATATGGCTCACAATGATCCTGTTCCTTGCTATTCACACCTTTGTATAATCCCTCCCCTTGACTCTGGGCTGGACCTGTTGACTTGCTTCTAATCAATAGAATATGTGATGGGATGCTACTTCCAGGGTTATTGAAGATTGAATATAGAAGATTGTGACTCTGTCTTGTTTATGCTCTCTCAGGCTCTCCTTGGCTCACTCACTCTGATAGAAGAAGGGTCCATGTCATGAGCTGCCCTCTGGAGAAGCCTGCCTCAAGGATCTGAGGGAGGCTCCTGGCCAACAGCTCATGAGTAACTGAGACTCTCAGTTCAACAATCCACGAGGAATTGAGTCGTACCATACGGGTGGCCCTGGAAAGGGGTCCTTCTCTAGTTGAACTTTGATTATAGTCTGTGGAAGACCCTGAGACTTGGGATCCATTGGAGCTATCTGTATTTCTGACCCAAAGAAACTGTGAGATAAAAAATCTTCTTAGGGGCACCTGGGTGGCTCAGTCGGTTAAGCATCCAATTCTTGATTTTTGGCTCAGGTCATGATCTCAGGGTTGTGAGATTGAGACCCACATCAGGCTTCACACTGAGTGTGGAGCATGCTTGGGATCCTCTCTCTCACTCTGCCTTTCTCTCTCAAAAATAAATTAGTTAATTTTATAAAATGTTCTTAAAGCCACTAAATTTTGGGGTGATTTGTTACACGGCAAGAGATACCTAATGCAGTTCATATGTATTCTCACATCTAGATTAGTCTGTCTTCATAAGGACTCACGTGTTCAGAGAAAGTATTAACTCTCTCTCTTTCACAGGTGGAGAAACCGAGGCTCAGAAAAGAAATAGGACCTCAGCCAGGTGGCACTGAAACCAAGCCTGACATCTTCTGTGTCCTTCAAGCGAGCTGCCCCATCCCCAGTTACCCACCCGCTGTGCCCACGGCTGTGTCCCATCTGCCTAATGGCACCCCCAGTCCAGAGCAGCCTGGACTGCCTTGAACAGAAGTGTGGACTCACTGCCAGTTTCTGATCTGGAAAGAAAGGTCCCAAGAAACGTCAGTCAAGGAGGATGGGGCAGAGGTCTAGTTGCTTCTGGGTACTCTTCCCTCACAAGCAGCCCTGAATGGAGAGAGGGAAGATGAAATCCCAGGCCTCGGGAGACCCCTGCCCACCTCACAGGTCTCTGCCTCACCTCTCCACTCTCTCTCATAACATCAGAAAACATGTGAACCACTCTGGTGTGTGCTGAAGCCCAGGAGTGCGGATCCACACTGCAAAAACTGCTGGTGAAGACCACTGGGTGGTTGCTAGGGAGCAGCCCTCCTCCACTGTTCATTGGAGTCACCATGGTGAGCACTATCCATAGGGCTCTATTACCTCAGAGGGCTTCTAGGCTCACCCTAGGGAACTGAGGCCAGGGAAAGCCAGTACTGGGGGGGGGAGGGGGAGGAGCCTTCAGGCATCGTTCACTCTCTCATCCCCTCAAAATGTTTCCAGAGCCCCCCACATGTGTCAGGTTGTCTATCAGGCACAGAGGGTTCAGATGCCATCAGGTGGAAAGGAAGTTCTTGGGCTGACAAAGGATTAAGTAGAGAGAATGATGAGTTTTGTCTGGGGAGAGGAGTCATTTGAGCTGGGCTTTGAAGGACGCATAGGAGTTTAACAGCTTAGAAGGGCCTTGACTATTAAAGGCCTGGATGTGTTTATGAGCATAAATATAGGCCAAGAGGAGTGGGGAGGGGAGGGAAAGGTGCACCTGGAGCTCTCTGAGCTGGACATGAAGGGATCAGGGAGCAAGTAGTAAAATGAGAGCAGGATGAGACAATGAGAGTCGGCTCTCCCCCGCTCAAACCACGAGGGCTACCAAAGATGAATAGTTCAATGGCTTCTGCAGCTGGTGCCAGCAGGAACTCAGTCTTGTCTGGCTGTTGCTTAGCAGGGGTAAGGGTCCAGGGGCTGCCTCCTCATGCCAGCCTTCCAGGGGCTCCCCAGGAGGCGGAGAGCTTGGTGACGCTCGGGACCCCTGAGTCTGGGCCTGCCACTTAAGAAAAGAGTGACTTTGGTCGACTTCTTTGGCTGAGCTTTCCTCGTATGTGAAACAGACACAGCTCACTGCCAAGGGTAAGAATGAGGATGGAGTGAAGTCACTTTCGAGAAGCGCCTAGCGCATCACTTGCCACAGAGAGATGTCGCCTGTAACTCACAGCTAACCCCGTAAGCGACTCATCAGCAAGGCCTTCAAAGTACGCCAGACTCGCACCCCTTCAGCCACCTCCACCCCCTGCTCCCCGCCCCGGCCCCCAGTCCAGACCTCTTGCCTCCTCACTGGTCTCCTGGGATTGCTCTCACCCCCCTGTTATCTATTGCTGAGTTGACAGTTTGACCGCAAACTTAGCAGCTTCACACATTCCCTACGGCAGTTGCTGTGGGTCAGGGGTCTGGGCGTGGCTTCGCTGGATTCTCTGGCCACTCAAGGCTCCAATAAAGGACCTAAAGCTGGCATGACAAGGACAGCATGGAGGCAGGAAGGGTCAGCCCTAGCCCTCTTCCACGCAGACCCCTCAGGCCTTCAGCCTGATCCAGCCTGACACCCAGGCTCCTCAGCATTTACTGAGCACCTGCCCGCCTCTACGCTGGCCTAGGGGCTGGGGCACGTCATTGACAGACTTGGTCCCTGGCCCAAGGTGGCCCTGTCTTTGCCCAGGAAGGCTGCGCAGTGGAAGCAGGGAACCCCCATTAGGTGAGGCCAGGGCTCAGCGTGCAGCCTGTGAGGGGAAAACAGCCCTCCTGAGGCGCTGCCCAGACATTTGACAATAGGACAACCCTCCTTGCACCCTGAGTCTGGACATAGACAAGGGCCTGAGTTTAGGATTCCCGTCTCAAATTCCAGCTTTGTCTTTCCCAGGGCACCTAGGAAAATAACCACCTTGACCTGAGGCCATGGAAAGTTAGTACCCCCGGCCCTAACTGCCTTATGAGTAATAGGCTCTCTGTTCTGTCTTTCCAGCTCGCGGGCAACCTGGGGGAGAGGACTGCCCTCCCCTGGCTCATCACCCCCCACCCGTGTCTGGGATCTGTAAGTAATAAATCTTATGACTTAACTTCCTTTGTGTGGGTGTATTGAAACTGCATCTCCCGTCAAAATAAACCCGGGGTTTTCAATTTCCCAGGTGGGAGCTCGGATGTTGAGGGGGCTACCTGCCAACCTTGAGGGGGGGGCGGTTTGCCCCCTCATTCAGCAAGTTGTAAACTGATGATTATGAATTCAGTACACCACCTATAGGTTCTCCAACACATGGTCCCAAAGGAGGGCTTAGAAAGCATGTTTCTAGGAAACTCAAAACGCAGCCACGAGGGTCCAGTCCTCTTCGGTAGCTTCACACTGCCAGGGCTCTGGAACTTTTTCCCGGGGCTGAGGCTGCTTCTCCAGCCCCTCTCCATGTGCTCCCCAGAGGGTCGTATTCTGAGCCAAGAAGGACACCCCAGGTGGAGGCCACCTTCCTCGGGCCCGCTTCCGAGCATTGCCTGTTCTGAGGGGCCCCAGGGCCCATGTTGGGTGACAAGGCTTTGGAAGGCCGGATGCCCCCACCCTATTCCCCGCACCCAGAGCGCTGGGCCCACAGCAGGAGCAGTTGGTGCCCAGCTACCCTCGGTTTTGCTTCTCCCCAGCTTCCCGTCCCACTTCCAGGTAGGTCCCAGTATGCTGTACCTGACATGGGACAACAGGTGGCTTCCTTTGCCAAAATGAAATAATAGAATGGCACCCTCTGCATGGCCTCCCCAGCTAGGGGCTGCTCTGGAGGTTTCTGGCCTCGGTGGGTTCTAAGGAACATGAAGGAGCTGGGCACATGGGGCGAGGGTGACACCCAAGGAGAGGCAGGCAAACACAGCTACTCAGAAAAGGCAATTTATTCCAGTGTTTCGAGGGAAAGGAGAGCTCTGCGTAGGAATTCTAAAACCTGGTCAGTCTCCTTTGCTGAAGAGGTACGCGCTGCATGTCAGGCTGCGGTCGCTAAACAGATGGGAGCTGCCAGCCAGCGAGGAGGCCCGCCACTCAGGCCTTCTCGCGCCTCCACTGGGACACACGGGTCTCCGGGGGTGCCCGGCGGAACCACTCAGACCAGGAGCCATCATAGACGGCCACATCCGGCTTGCCGCAGACGTAGGCGGCCAGGGCGATGTGGCAGGCGGTGACTCCCTTCCGGCACGTGGCAATGAGGGGCTGCGCTAGGTTCACCTTCTTGGCCTCGAACATAGCACGCAGCTCCTCTGGGCTCTTCTCGAAGCCGTCCGCGGTCAAGAAGTCCACGAACGGCATGTTGACTGAGCCTCGGATGTGGCCCGGTTCCAGTCCTGGGCGCAGCAGAGGACAAAGGGAAGGACAGGTTTAGGAGTGGCATTGGGGGGCGGGGACAAGTGGGGCGTGGCCATAAGGCTAGGGAGCTTCAGAAACAAAAGGAACACCTTTGCCCTTCTCAGAGCTCAATTTACTCCCAGTCCAACCTACACTGAAGGCCGGAGACACAAGACAAAGGGCCCCCTCCCCCAAAACCTGCCTTGAAGTAGGGATGCCCAAAATCATACCTGCTTGGGAGGACAGGGATGAGTCTCAGCTCTGCCATTTACTGGCCTTCTTACTAACATCTACCTTGGGCAAACGCTTCACCTCTCTGAATCAGTTTTCTCATCTGTAAAATGGGCTCAATGGGACACACCTATCTCATAGGGTTATTGAGAAGCAAATGCTTCGTGCCGGGCCAATTGCTAAGAGCACAGTGGTGGACACGGTCCAGGCTCCCAGAGAGATTACAGTCTAGCAAGGAAGACAGATGCTAAATGGATAACCACATGATTCATTAAATATAATAGAAATATAAATTCATAAAATATAATGTCCATTTTACAGATGTATACACTGAGGCTTAGCAGCATTAAATGGCTCACCTAAGGCCACACCGAGAGGCAAAGGCAGACCCAGGATTACACCGAGTCCCCTGACATTCCTGTTAAGCACAGTTGTGGAAAGAGCATATGACCTGCTGCTAGACATAAGTTTGAATTCCAGCTATGCCACTTACCAGAAGGGTGACCTTAAGCAAGTCATGTCACCTCTCTGAGCCTTGGTTTTCCCAGGGGTAAAATGGGAATGAGAGTATTCACGGGCCTGGGCTGTTGTAAGGAGCAAAGCACCAGCTTCTGCCCCCGGCCCATGCACCCTCAGATGCTGATGCTCCCACCTACCCTGGGGGAGGGTGAGGATGGGGACAGTGTGGTCCCTGCACGCCCTTCCTAGCAACGCTGAAAGGCTTGGATAGAAGTAGAGTGGGGGTCTGAGCTGGCTTCAAGGCCCATTCTGGAACGGTCTCCCCTCCCAATGAGGCTTCTCTGCCAAATCTGGTTTCAGAATAGCCAGCAAGGGGGTGGGGGGCAAAGAGGTCTGGGCCAAGGCCAGAGCTGGAGGTGCCTGCAGGGCCAAGGCCTTGGTCCCGCCCTCAGCATGCCAAAGGTCGCTCCTCTCTTCCTCAAGCACCCCACGCCCTGGTAGACTTTAGACGCTGGGAGCGGAGCCCATGACAGATTTAGGCATCTCTTTGGGCTCCCCTTCCTCCAAAATTCCCTACCACTCCCTTAAACCTGGACCACGGGACAGGGGAGGACCGGACCAAGGCACACGCTGGGGCAGGGTGCAGTCAGGAGGCCCTGCATCCCTGAGCCTCAGTCTCCTCATCTATGAAATGGGGAGATAACCCCACCTCACAGGCTTGTGGAGAAGATCAGTGACGGTAGGTAGAAGCCCCTGGTGGCCCCGGGCACAGAGTAGGTGCACAGTCATGCCAGCAACATCCCATTCCCCGCACCCTGAAGCCAAAGAGGCTTGCAAAATTGCCTGACATGAGTCAAGAGTTCCTTTGATTGAATAGGTGTCCTAACTTATAAATTACAGTGATTTCTTCCTGCTGTCATTTTATCTTTCTTGTCTGGAAATTTTAACCTGAGCCTGGATGTGCGCTGACCCCACCAACGAGGAACAATAGATCTGTCGGCTTCAAAGGCGTCCTTTGCCAAGACACCCAACTTAAAAATCTTTCGGCATCCAGGCAGTGGGCTGAATTTAAGTGCATTTAAAAGTGCAAGCGTTTATTAAGTTCTGAATGCAGTTTTGTTTCTTTCCTCCCAACCCCGATGAAAACAGCTTCACTGCTTTCTTCTGACTACATAAAAGGCACCTCTTCTGAGTAAAGAAGTCCAGGGGGGGGGGCGGTTTTCTGTGATGCAGGCTTCCCAAAACTGGGCCAGCCTCAGGAGGCGGGGGTCCTCCTTTCTCCTCTGGCAACGAGGGGTCAGCGCCCCTCTGAGGAATTTGAAAGAGCAGGCACTGACCGCCTGTGCGTGACAAGGGCCAGGATGAACCTGGCCCAGAGAACCTTGGAGAACAGCCAACTGAAGGGAAGGCACACGGCCCCGAAGCCGGAACTCCTGCTGCTTTCCCCCCAAGTCTGACCTCGAGGCTTTCTGCCCCCCGCAGGAAGGCCACCGTGATCAACCTGTGGCACTAGGTGCCAGACGGTGAGTTAGCTCAAGAGTTTTGTCTTCTTGAATCCTCACGAAGCCAGATTATCCTCCTGGCTCTGACGGGGAGCCCAGGCTCAGAGAGGTGGGGAAACTTGCCTCAGGACACACAAGTATGTGAAGTGAAATCAGATCTGTCCGACCCTAAAACCTGTGTTCTTGGACTACCCTGAGCCTTTCTGGAAAAGGGGACTGAGGCAGGGGAATGGATAAGATGACCCCTCATGTTCCTCAACAGCTCAGAGGCCTGGGACTTTGTGCTCCAGCTTTGGCCAAGAAGAGGCCAGTGGTGGGGGAGGTCATTGAGAGGATGTGACCGCTGGTTGACCCATGAGCTGGACCGGGGCAACTGGAGGCTCCTCACCCCCTCCCCTGTCCTTGGGATGTGCATTCTGCTTGCCTTCCCCACTTCCCCGCCTTTGACGCTGACATGGCCTTGAGATAGTGATGTGGTGTTGAGACCAGTTGGATAGCGTGTAAGGGACACAGTTAAGGCAGCTGTATAAACTTTTGAGATCTGGCAGGTGGGTGTGGAAATCTCATGGTATGGCCAGGCCAAGACAAGCCTTGTAAGTAAGTTCCCTTGCTTATTAAACCTGCTGCCAACAATCTGGAGCCGCCTGCCCTTTTCTCCAGCCTCTCCCTCCGCATTGCCTCTGGGGCTGGTTTCAGATTGCCCCGGGGAGGCTCCGGAGGAGGCTGGTAACTAAAAGTTGGCCGGCCAGCCAGGAGGCTAAAGAAATGGGCCTTCGGAGAGGCATCGGTGCGGGAAATCCTACGTCGGTCAGCGACCTCTATGTGGGGAGGGGTGACCCATATGTTAGGTGCTTGTGGACCTCTGCATGAGTCTAGTACGTCCCCAAAACCCCGGCTGCTTTACTGAGCTTGTTTAAGGAACTATGCACAGCACTGCGCCAGAGAAATGAAGGGAATGATTGTCACAGTGCACTGGTCTCTACTGTGGGCGGTTCAGCTGGACACTGGTGCCCAGCTAAGGTTCAAAGTCAAGTTAGAAAGTTGGAAGAGCTGAGGTTAGAGAAGGGTGTGCAGGTATCCACTACTTTGCTGGCTTTGAGGCTGGCAGCCAAGACGGGACAGCAGAAGTCAGCTGGGGACCTTAGCGCACCCTTTTTTTTTTTTGCAAGGCAAGGAAGGCACGAGATGCTGTGGATTAAGACACAGGAGCTTGTGACAAAGGCTGATTAGGGCGCTGAGAGGTGGCTCGCTGGCCAAGCGAGCAGAATGAAGAGAAGGATGTTGTGGTCGAGGAGGAAAGGGAGATGCCCCATGCCTTGCCACCCCTAATACAAAGGAAAATTTCCAATAGCAATTGCCCCCAAACCTAGGGGAAAACTAAACCCAAAGTTGTAAATCTTATCATGCCTTTGAAATGTAAACACCCCAGGAGATAACCAAAACAGTACCCACAGGGACTGTAGGAAAAAATCTGGGGGTTGGGGAGGGATACAGACTGTTCTAGAAGTTCCCTTGTCCAAAGCCTAGCCCCCAGTCTCCCCAAGATTACTCATCGAGGGCTAAGTCATGGGGTCTCTGTCTGTATGGTGACATATGTCTATGGATATATGTTAAATACATCTTTTTCTGCCTCCTGAAGTTATTACCAAAATTAATCTGTAAAAGAGCTCTATTTAATTAGCTTAAAAATAAGCTATATATCAAAGTGAACTTATGTAAAACTGAAATTTAATTTTCTCTCATCTGCTATAAAGTTTTCTTGGACGATTGGTCTGTTCTTGATGGGATCATGAAAGGCTTTTCTTTGCCTTTTAGGTAACCTACCTAGTAAACAAAGATTCTGTGTTTTATCAAAATAAATTCCTATGTTTCATGCAGTCTTTACCAGGTCTTTGATTACTTAAGAAAACGGAGTCTCCTCTATTAAAAGAGCTAAGTGGTTTGGTTTTTTTTGGTTTTGTTTTGTCTTTTTTTTTTTTTTTACAACTGTGCAATTTCTCTATTTGCCTTTGAAGGCTTAAATTGTCATTTTGGTTAAATGGATAACTGAATGTTGTTTCACAATGATCCGTGATCCTACATGAGCATGTATTTTAAAACCTTTTGATATTTTTGACAAACTTCCCCCAAATCAAATTCTAAATGAAGCTTTATTGATCTTGAACTAACTTGGGGATTTTCCTGGCCCAGCTCAAAAGATTTGTTTTTTCTCCTTGTGAGAGAGAAATATTAAACTAATCAGACATTTCATATGTTAAATTACACAGGAAGCATTGTCAAGTAGGAAGTGATGCTAATCTTTTCTTAGGAACTATTTATATGGAAGTTATTAATAGGAGTGTTCCCAAAAGTATATAAAATTCCCCAAAATTTTATAGGTCCTGGTATCATGTTACCAATCATAATTTTGGTTTTTACTTTAAAATATCTATCACAAAAATAACCACATTTCCTTGTCAATTGCATTAGAATGAATTCTCATCAGAGCTATTGTTTTACTCTGATGCTTTTGCAAAAGCATTTCCTGCAAAAGGGTCTCCTCTTGAGGGAGATTTGTGGGCAAGACAGACGGATGGACGAACGAATAGAGGTTTCTGAGAACTAAGATCATACCACTGACCTAAGTAAGAATTAATTACACGGGATGGTAGCCCCAGAACTGTCCCTACTCTCCTTCACATCAGTAAAATGCGCCCATTACATTGATGCTCTAATATAAACGTGTGAAAACTTTTATCTGCTGCAGGACATGCCGCAGGCTTTGCTGGAACATCTGTGAGGGAAGAATGGTGGAGAACTTGCAGAAA